TTTAATGATTGTAATTTGCTAAGTTTATGATAAGGATTTCTGTCATATTTGTAAAGAGTAATTTGACGAAGAGGCAAGTGTAAAGCAGCTTCCAGTTATTTGGATTGGTGATTCAAGTCATCAATGCAACAAATTGCAAAAAGATCACTATTGACTCCCTGACATGGGATTTAAGAGGTGTAGGGTTTAGCTGAAAAATAAAATATGGGGGTTTGACAGGGGAAATTTAGTAGCTGAAATTAACCATTGATGCCTTGTCCATCATTTTACTTGCTATGTGGCATTGTAGCAACAGATAATTCACATTCTTTCCCAATTGCTTGCACATAAATAGCAACTGACATAGGTTATCCATTTTCTATAAATTTTCAGCTATATTGTAGTCCATTGCTATTGACCAAGTGAAAGTAAACCTTCCATGCAGCTCTAGGAACCATATTATTATAGGAACATATGTCTTCTCTTCTCAGTAGTGTGCGGTATCGAGAAATTGTCAGCATTGCAAAAGAAAATTTCTTTGCTACTGAGTACTCAATTTGTCCCAATTTATGTGACATTATTCGGATTTCGAGAGTAACGACTTATTCTTTGACTGTAATTTTTTCATATGCCTTTTAGATATTATAAATTGTTAATAATTGTGACTTACAATACTTTGTATGTAGTTTTCGGATATGTAAATTTTATTTCAAAAAACTTAAAGATTTTATGTCTAAATTCACGGTCAAAATTAAGAATTTCGACTCTCAATATCTAAATGATGCCACATAAATTGGGACCGAGGGAGTAATATTTTCCTTTTTAAGGGTTGAGTTCAAAGACGTGCCTTATTCTACTCATGTGATACCCCGTAGACAGGGAGAACTATAGAATCAAAGGTTACATTGTAATATGGCAGGATATTGCGCTGATGCTTCATGGCTTAAATTACTCTTATTCAAATGACAGAGCAATTAAGACTTTATTAATTGTGGCTAGACATGTAATATATAATGTTCTTGGAGGTTTTTTGTCTACTTTATAACAATCTTATAAAAAGCTAACATGGAACAGTTTCTTGATTTTCTCTTCCCCTATTTGTGGTATGTCAGGCAGTGTGGCGGTTTCCAAGTAATATAACACTTATCTTGTAACTATTTGTAGATTGTGAAAAGTATAATGTGCGAAACAAGATGATTCCTCCTAATTTTTTTGTGAGAAGTGTAGACAATTGAGCATCATTGATGAGTAGATGCACAATATAGTGGTTAAGTATCTTGTATGTTTTGTTATTTCGTCCTCCCTTAGTTTGAACTTTTTGGTTATGTTTATTGCAGCTGGGACTGCAATACCAGGAAAAGGCGTGTTATTTGTAAATACAAGTCTGACCCTACTGTTGCCTTGGGCTATTTGTCTTTTGCTCTTCTTGTTGCATCTTCTGTGGCCGATTTCCTGTCGTTATTTTATCCGTATCAAGGGAAATCAATCCCACAAGCTGCTTTGCTCAAAAACACTAGTTTTGTTGTGGTCCTCAACATCGCATTGTAAGTACTCTTCAACCGGTCATTTGCACTGTTTTTAATCTCTTCATTCATTGACCTTTTTCTTAATCCTAGTTCACTATTCAACAACATTGTATGCAGCCTTATCCTTACCCAGGACAGAGAGACTGTTTTGGATAGACCCTGAGCCTTAATCCTAGTTCACTATTCCCTATGTCTTATGTTGACTGTTTTTGCCCACGAGTTGGTAAATACATCATTCTTGGTAACATACTTGTTCATTTGATTTTCATTGTCTACAAATAAAAACACTAATAATGTTGTCTGACTGGTATAAAAGTAACAATAATTTTCCTTTTTTATAATAACAACAATTAAAATAAGAATTATGATGAAGATGATGTCGATGACAACAAGGATAAGGAAGTTAATATTTAGTCACACAAAAATGCAACTGCGGGAGGGCACATAATATGCATGTGTGAACATGAACCTGTCTTTTAGTTGCCTCATTTTTCCTCTTTTAGTGATTGAACTTATATCTCATCACTAAAAATGATGCTATCGAGTTCACTTTCTTGGTGGGATGTGAGTGATTGAACCTAAAACAGTCTCTCTACCTTCACAAGGTAGGGGTAAGGTCTGTGTACACATTATCCTCCCTAGACTCCACTTGCGGGATTACACTGGGTTTTTTGTTGTTGTTGTTGTTGTTCTTGTATGTGAGTGACTGAACTTATGGTTCTTTTGGTATTTTCTGCCTTTGAATCAAAGGGGCACAACTGGTTTAGCAGCAGCATTAATATTGTGGCCTACAATCTCCGAGCAACTTCATATCACGCGCAACATCCATCACAACTTGCAAACTGATTGCCCAACAACCAAGACCGGTCTTCTTGGTGGAGGCGCCTTTTTGTCTCTTGATTCTGCGCTCTTTTGGTTGGTGGCTTTGATGTTAGCTGATAACGCTCGCGAGGATTATTTCCAAGACGCAGATGTTAAGGGCGAGCTGAAAGCAAGTTATGCAGATGATGAAGTTATCAAGAGCAGTGCTTAAGAAGATTGTTCTACTTTCTATTTGTCATTCTGATGTTGCCAATATGGAATTGTTAGTACAAACTTATGTAAAAAACATGATTTCCTGTCTTTCTAATTATAAATATCATTATGGATTCCTTTATTTAAATTGATATCACTGTTGATTTGTTCCTATTTTGTGAGCTACAGAGTAACATCTTGAGTCAGTTATTAGCCTTGAAGAACATAAACAAATGGTTCACTTTGAATCACAACGTTTTTATGTGGTCTGGCCCTTTACCGGACCCAGCTCATAGCGGGGAGCTTAGTGCACGGGGCTGCCTTATTTTTAGTTTTTATTTTGTATAAGAGGCACGGAGTAGTAAAGTAATTACTGGTCCGCTTAACTTGAGCTAAATTAATGTTTTCGTCCCTTCCAAACTGGAGTTCCAACTCGCGCTATGAAATTCCTGCTAAAAATAAAAGAAAAGGGAATAAAGTCAGATTTGGCAGAACAAATCCTGCTAAAAATAAGTGAAAAAGAATTTCAACTCGCGCTATGGAGAAAAAGAAAAGAAAAATCAAAAATTATGTCAGAGAGTAGAATCACTGCCTTATTAAATTTCTGGGATCAAAATTGTCAAATTATACAGAAAAAATAAAAAACAATCACTTTTAACCTCTCTTATTAGAGTTTACTTAGTATTTAATTTTTTTTAAAATTATAGTCACTCCTTTCATACGGAAAAAATATATGAACAAAAGTATACATATGCAAAATCCACATTGAAAAGTAGGCAATTTATAAAGAGGTGGTTGATGTCTTCAGAATATTTTAGAAGCAATTAACATATGCTCGAGTTGAATCATGTATGCCTCTCCTTTTTTGATTTTCTTCAGTCATACAGCCCTTATTAGCACCTACTACACTAAGATTTCTTCTGAAACTGACTCTGCCTTGTGCTGCTTTAAGATCAACGTTTGACAGTTTCTGTTTAAATATCCGTTTAGGAANCAATTAAAAACCTAAGTAATCTTAATTTAAAAGGTAACTGCTTGAGGAATTGTGAATTCATTTCCTCACATGATGTTTCTGGACTTCAAGCTATTGATCTAAGTTGTGTGCACCCATGTCGACACGACACCGACACTAGTATGAGTGTGGGATACGTACCGGATCTGGTCAATGACGTTGGATACTTTGACCATAAACTATGGGGAAATTAGAGATAAGATTTGGTATTTAGATTTCTTAAGACAAAAGCTAATGTACGTTTCTAGATGGCTACCTATAATTTGAGAATAAAAGATTGAGTTACTACATTGTACAAGTTATATGTTAGTTTTTCACATAATGTCTCATAATTTAGGCATATTTTTATAGCTATGTTTTAAAATAGCCAAGTCACCGCACCCGTATCCCTCTACCTGGATCAGAATCTTAGATTTTAGATCATGAAGGATATATCCGATCTTTAGATCCGCACCCGTATCGGATACCCGCACATAAGTCCGAGCAACTTAGCTATTGGTTATTGGTGACATGTGCACTAAAATTTTATACAGGTTAATATCTTCATAAAAAAGAAAAAAATTACGTTTGATAATAATGTGTGGCATCTGTGAGTTTTATTTCCTGTTGTTTGACTTTGATGGAACTGTATCTGAGTTTTATATGTAAGACCTGCCATTTATTTTTGATTGTCAATTTGTTTAGTCAACTAAACAATATATATTTGATTGTCAAATTTCCTCTCTAGATTCAGCTTCAACATTTGAGGCTGTTTTGGACATGGTGACAGATAGGTAGTGCGACATTCTAACCTTAACTCTCAATCCCCTCAAAACTCTTTTGGATGAACATTTAATATATTTGCCCTTGCTTTCATATTAAAAACCTCAATTCTGCTTTCTTGTTTATGTAGGCCGGTATGATTTTTCAGGGTTAGCACTGCCTATCTGTCGGTGATTCTTTTGCAGGTTTATAGGTAGTTTCATTAACTCCTATTTGCATTAGCTTTTGTATTGTTAAAGGTTTTGGCACATTTAAGATTTAGTTCTGGCATATTTAAGTTATTAGGGACAAGGTAGGAGTGACATATGTGGAGGATAAGTTGCGAAAATCGAGGTTGAGATGGTTCAGACATGTGAAGAGGAGAGACATAGATGCTCTTGTAAGGAGGTATGAGAGGTTATCCATGGCGGATCTGAGGAAGCGAATGGGTATGCCTAAGATGTATTGGGGAGAGGTAATTAGGCATGACAATCATTGCTTCAGCTTACCGAGGATATGACCCACGATAAGAAGGTGTGGAGGTCGATAATTAGGGTTATAGGTTGACAGATAGTAGTGTGTTCCTCTTCCTCCTAGGCCGACCTGTAGTACTAGGACTATTGTTGTAATTTCCTATTTATGGTTCTTTATTATGCATGTTGTGGCATTCACGCCCTGTTACCATGTTACATTATTGCTAATATTCTTTGCTATTTAGTTGCTTTATTTTCACTTTTTCTTGAGTCGAGGATCTATCGAAAACAACCTCTCTATCTCTATAAGGTAGGGGTAAGGTCTGTGTACACACTATCCTCCCCAGACCTCAAAACTGGGTTTTTTGTTGGTGTTGTTGTTGCCTTATGCTTCCGGGCCTGGTCTAGTTTCTTGTCATTGTTTGCTCTAGATATTTACAGCCATTGATTGCAAATGTATAAGTAATTAACTCTCCACTGAAACATATATCATTTAAGCAGGATTGATTCTGCATTGTCTTTTCTGTTATCTTGTGTTTTAGACTTCTGATTGATCAGTGTATTCTCAGTTGAATATTTTTTTTAAAATATTATTGCTATTGGAACAACAGTTGTACCTAGTTGTTTTGGATTAGTTCTTAGCTTTCATGTTTATCCTTAGATTAGATATAGATTTAGATTTATCCTTTTAGTTCATACTTATCATTCAGTTAGTTAGCTTTAGATAGTGTTTTGATTTGAATAAGTCTCCTAATTCAAGGAGTACTCTTAGGAAGACTTGTATTTAAACTGAGCTTGGCATTCAATACACATACAGTTTTCCATCATATTCTTGAGTGTTCATATGGTATCTGAGCCTATACAACTCTAACGAGCACGATCCAATTTTTTTCTTCTTTCCAATGACGAAAGATGGAAACACTACCAGAATTGTCAATGCCGACAACACTGTCGGCACCACAACCATCATCCAATTCAACCATGCTTCCCAACTACCTATCAAACTTAGTGGCAGTCACAATTTTGCCACTTGGAAAGCTCAGTTCTCCATGCTTATGCATGTCCATGATCTCTATGGTCACCTTGATGGGTCTACCCTGATTCCCACACCGACCACTACTTTTGGCACCAATACAACTCCTAATCCTGCTTATACGCTTTGGTTCCGTCAGGATCAACTCATCCAAAAAGCTCGTATAGCGTCTGTTGACCCTACCATTGCTTCCACAGTTGTTGCTGCCAACACATCCAAACATGTTTGGGACTCCTTGCACATTGCTTATGCAAACAAGTCCCAGACTCGGATCTTCAGCCTTCGTGACCAACTTGCACGAATCACAAAAGACAACATTCCTATTGCCAAGTACCTTCAGCGTATTCGGTCCCTCTCTGATGAACTTGCCACTGCAGGTGCTCTGGTCACTAACTCTGAACTTATTGTCAAGATTCTTAGTGGACTTGGCCCTGAGTTTCGTGAGATATCTGCTGCCATACGAGCACGTGACACCACTGTCACCTATGAGGAATTGTATGAAATATTGCTCGATCACGAGCTCTTTATCCGACATGAGGATGCTAAGAAAACTCTCGGTCCTATCACAGCGGCAGTTGCTACACACAACAAACAGACCAACACTGCCCACAATCGCAACAATCGCCGCCAATCCTATAATAACACCTCCCAACCATGGCGACATAATACTCGCTCCAATTCATCCACCCAGTGGCAACCCCAAAACAATAACCCCATGGGTGTTATTCGTTGCTAATTATGCAACAAGATTGGCCATACTGCAAATGTATGTCGATCCAAGTCACATAATCATTTTGAGGCCAAATCCAATTATATCACAAGCTTCAACACTACTGCCGACCCGTGGATAGTGGACTCGGGTGCCACCCACCATGTCACAACCGAACCTCACAACCTACAACCATATCACGGCAACGAGGATGTCTCCATAGGTGATGGTAACAAAATTCTCATCTCACATATTGGTTCTACTCGGTTAAATGCATCAAATAATGTTTTTAAGCTAACTCACACTTGTCGCACCTCCTTTTTCCGCACCCGCGGGGCGCGTAGGGAGTTTTCTCCAATTAAAGGACAGTCGAAACTTGATTTAATTATTTATTTCAGAGTCGCCACCTGGGAATTTTAAGGCGTCCCAAGTCACCAGTTTTAATCCCTGAATCGAGGAGAATATGACTCTATTTGTTATTCTATNAGGTGGGTCACGCGCACGTGTACACCATAAATTCAGAAGACTCAGAAAGAAGAGTGTTTCGTAGCAGTTGTATATATTCACAATTCAAATAATATTAAAGCGGTAAAAAAAACATTTAGCATATTAAGCATATAGACAGTTGAAAATCATATAGTAAATAAAGCCAATTATCGCATTTATTTTAAGCTCGAATTCTTTAAACCCTGAACCAGTGGTTCTGGATTACAGGAAATAATAAAATTCCCCAGCAGAGTCGCCAGAGCTGTCGCATCTCCTTTTTCCGCACCCGCGGGGCGCGTAGGGAGTTTTCTCCAATTAAAGGACAGTTGAAACGGGATTTATTAGGAATTCTGTTAATCCGGAAGAAGGTGTTAGGCATTTCCAAATTCCGTGGTTCTAGCACGGTCACTTAACTGTTTTTTATTCTTGGCTTATCTTGATTTTACATTTTTATTGCAGGATTTTGTTACCGCTTCTGTTTATTGTTTACAATTATATAAACGAATTACGCGTACGTATATTCGTATTATATACCTTTTATAATTACAGAGAATCGTGTCACGCATACGTGTACACAAAAGGTTGATAATATTTTTTTTTATATTTTTATTATATATAAAAAAATCATACGTTCGAAGTTAGAAATAAAATTAAGAACACCG